CGCTGGCGAACCGGAACTGAAAAGTGAAGGGGAAGTTTCTGTGTTTAGTTCAGGCTCCGTGGGGAATTTGAGCTTCGACTTGCAAAAGGAAGAAAAGGCAACAGGACTAACATTTCCAGAAAAGGTGTCTTTCCCTGAATACAGTCGCAGTGGGTTGTTCCAGAAATTGGTTTGCTCATTGGAGGGAGGACAGGGTTTACCAAGGTTAAGGTGTTTCCTTGAGGAGCGGAGGAGCTGACTGCCACTTAGATGTCCTTTGGAAATCCCCTACTCAGTGTGAAGCTCAAATAATCCCTTGGGGGAAATTAGATCCAAACCTCCAGTTTTAATCCCAAGCTCAGTTTGAAGCTCAAGACGATCCTTCTGGGGGGAGAAGGTCCAAACATCCAGTTTGCAGGATGACTTCCTGCCAAGAGGCAACGACAAAAACAAGGTTAAGACTTGGGTCGACAAAAACTCAGTTTGACTCAGAAAAATTCAGCTTGGCTAGAGTACCCAAAACGGGCAAACACTCTGGCGTCGAGGTAGTGGCAGTCAGCAGCTTAAGAGTCCTCAGGTAATGAGGCAATCATCCGCAGGTGTGTGAGGGGGCCAACGAGAACCAGGCGCCACCTGGTGGTGGAGAGAAAACAAACAAAAACACAACCCACACAAACTGGATTCTTAACACTTTCTTTCTTTCTTTCTTTCTTTCTTTCTTTCTTTCTTTCTTTCTTACTTTCTTTCTTTCTTTCTTTCTTTCTTTCTTTCTTTCTTTCTTCTTTCTGTGTGCTTTATTTATCATGGGTATCATATTAATATTTAAAAATATCTCTAAGATTAGGAGTACCAGAAGTGATGACTATAACAATCTTTATGTTTACTGCAGTGCCCGGTAAAGCTGTGTAAAAGGAACAGGTGCTTAATTTCAAATTGAAACAAAACAAGAGGAAACCAACTGTTATTCAGAGTGCACTGATTTAGTTCATAGAGAAAATCTTGGATGACAAACAGATTTTTTTTTTCCATTTGTAGTAGCTGACACCACCTTCATTTCCACCATTGCCACTCTACACATGATTAATCCTGTTGAACCCAGAACCTTCTTGCTGCAAGGCAGCAGTGCTGCCCACTGTGCAGCCCTCTATTTTAAATTTTAATGTAGAAAAGTACCCATGAATATCTCCTCTCTTTAGTATCAATATTGCAAAAAAAAAAATTCTCTCATACCATCACAAACATAAAATGATTGCTAAAGCTTAACTTAAACATGGCTGCAGCTCTGGCTGTGTTTCTGTTCCAAAAGGAATAATCAATTATTAAAACTTTGATTAATATCTGTAATTATCAAGTTAAACTAATAATGGATTTCCCTTTGTTAGTTATCTAACTCTTAGATGCATTTTTGAAGTTTTTTGTAATTTTTTACTTAAATTATTTATTGAAGCAATCCAGTTATAGGAACAAGTTCAACTCCACGGTGTCGATGGTTTGTTTTAAACATCTGGAAATATTATATATAAATGTAGTGTCGCTTGATAAAGAAAAATCTAAATTATCAGTGATGGAAATTAGGCCATTAACTAGACAGTGATCAAAAACATATGGACAAATGAACAAGGAAATGGTTCATGAGACAAAGCAACCAATGACCACAGATCTAAACACAATAATGAACCTGTGTGTGGAGCAAGGAGGTGACCGAGGACTTTGCATGACCTAGAGAGATACAAAAAGAAATTAAGAAACTTGATGTGTTTAATAATCTTTCAAATTAGATTTTCTTTTCACCTAAAAAAATTTACTAGATATTGAGCTAAAACTATGAAAGTGATTATTCTACTACAATAAAAGGTTATTTTGCTGTAAACATAAATTAATAAATAGCCCTGTCAAAAGCTGGTACTTAATTTTTGCATTTTACTGTGCAACTAATAATGGCGACAAGTAACTAATAATAAATAAATAAATGTGTGCATGCGCACATGTTAACTACATGTTTGCCAGAATCTGAGACAATTCATTGTTTTTCTCAGGTTATTTTGACCTTTCATGCTCGCCTGCTGTCCTAGTTGGCAGACAGACACATTCATTAGGCATGGCTCCATCAGACGCAGAGCTCTGCCCGACGCTGTTGCTCATTAAAGCCAGGGCCTGCTTTCACAAAGAAGCAGTAAACAGAGATGGAACAAAAACAGAGACAGATAGGAAGGATGTGGGTTTGGAAAGATCAAGAAGGCCGAGATAGCATCTGGATCTGTTTACACATTCAATTGAACCTCGCTATTAAAACAGGCGATAAAGAACCAAGAGCAGGGATAAGGCTGAGTACAAATGAACTCTTTTCTAAAATAAACACCTGTTAATATTTCATGGGCATGGCTTAGTCTTTGCTTCCACTTTTTATAAAGCTGTGAATGTTAAGTCTTAATGATAAGACCAGATAGTGACAGTAATGTCCTTAAAAAAATCTATGTTAAGGTCACTCTCTTTTCAACAACAGTCATAAGATCTTCATCTTTAAGTAGATCTGGATGTTTTGTGATTAATGGAGGATTGCTAAATTCAAACCACTTAAAATGATTATGTGATTTGTTTTGGTCTTTTGTTAAGGGGTTTAAGTAAATTGCTGCATCATACTCTCCTACAGATCCATTAATCACCTTCTACTTATCTCTTCCTCACACACACCTCAGCTTGATACAGCTTGAGTTGAAACTGATTCTTTGGTATTACATTTCTAATACAATTTCATCAAAGCAGAAGAGGGCAATATAGCATATTCCCTCTGCATGTCTGTCTTCCTTACCCTCATTTTTCCAGTTTAATATAAGGTTTAACTGGGTTAAACCTTGTATTGAGGACCATGGCGTATTGGCATACATGCTGTATACACAATTCTGTGAAGATCACCAGTTATAAAAGAATTTCTGTCATTTTGTTTCACTGTAGATTTAATTATTTTGGTTGTCTCCGATGAAAAATGAACGATCAGTCAATCAATCATGTGAATATATTAAATTATATCGTCCATACAGCCGTTCAAGATTTATGATGGCTTAGCAATTCTTCATCCCAGCTTATCTGTGTGCAAACACTTTGAACCTTTTTTTTTACTGAACAGAAAATAGGATTTTTTTAGAAGAAGAAAAAAGAATGTGTTTCATAATGCAAATGTGAAAAAAAAAAAAAAAAAAAAAAACATTTTTTACCATTTAAAATTGCATTACTCTACAAGATAAAGAGAAATTGAGCAAAGCAATACAAAATCATGTGCTGGAGTGAATTTGAAACTTTTTTTCTGTTGAGAAATGCTGAACTCTCAAAGGGATTTTAGGATTTTAATGTTTTTAACTAAACAGACTTTCCCTTGTTAACTTAAAGACAATTCTTCTTCACCGAATCAAGACCTGACTTGAATCTCAAATAGTCTTTGGAGGGAGCTAAAGATTATGGTGATGAAAATGAAGCATTCTAGTCTTGGAAACATAAAGATCATCATTAAAGTTAAATAATCCAAATACCATGGGAAGCATAGAAAAGGCTGAACAGCACATATACAGTACGAGGTTGAATGCAGTAATGCCAGAAATATTGGGAGGGAAGGGACAGTTGCAAAAAGAGATGGTTCCAACCAGGTGGCTTTTTGGAATATTTTGTGTTTGGAATGTTGCTCTGGAAATCTCAGAATTTAAAAAAGATATCCCAATTTTATATTTTTGATTTTTAAAATGTGTAAGTGCAATTTTCAGAGCCCATGGTTGCATTATATTTGTTAATTAAGTTTTACTATACATATTCTCAAAATAATCCTCTTAATAAGACAGAAAACCAAAGTTAATTTGTCTGAAAAGCTTTACTAAAGGAAATTTTTCAAATTAAAAGTTGTCTAAGTGTAAGGATTCATGACATGGTGCAACAGTTGAATTGTTTTTTTGTTTTTTTTTATTCTGAATAAAACTTTACTATGTTATTATATTGAACTGGTATGGGCAATTAGCAGACAGCCGTGATTTAATGTTAAGAGGAAAGTGTAGTAGTTGAGAGAAATGAAGTGTTGCAACCGTTCTCAGGCTCTTTTATCTTACATTGATTATATAGAGGGTTATAAGTATTTGTCAATATGAAAAGGTTTTAACCAACTGATTTATTGTTTTAAACTATATATCAAGTCCGATTTATTATTTCGTTCCCAGACCTAATATTCAATTCTTATTGTTTTATTCTCTTCGAAAAAGTGTTTGTCATTCGATATGAATTCTATAAAGTTAGGGTTAGAAGATAGCAAACCTAATTCTAAAAACAACATGAGTCACAATATGATGGGTCAGAGAATGTGTTCTGTCTTGTTCTGGAAGTCAGAGGTGTATAAGGTGAAAAGCAGTGGTGAGAGTAAGGTCCAGCGTGTGTGCTTCTGCTTCTGACTAACTGATAAGACACTTGACCCTTCTATCTCACAAACCAGGGGTCTGTTTTATCTGGTAAATTTTGATTCATGAAGTTATTTGTGTTTTTTGATATTTTTTTCAGATATATATATATATATATATATATATATATATATATATATATATATATATATATATATATATATATATATATATATATATATATATATATATATATATATATATATATATATATGCACTTACTTATTTGGAGTATGTATGTTTTTGACATGAAATGTGTCTCGAAATAAAAGGAAATTGTAAAGTTTTGTGTAATTGGTCACATTTCATATTTCATGTGTCCTTTGGATTGATGTAAAATACATATACTGCCTTCTTTTTAAAGTTAGTGTCAGGAACAAGCTCTGTATTGTCCTTGGAAAGATGCGAGAAGCATCCAGCGCTGTAAACGCGTGGAACCTTTTCATTCGCTTAAAGGGTTTAAGCTGCTTCGTTGCTTGGTAACTGCACCCCGCGGCATCTTGGGAGTTGTGGTCAAATCTGTTTCTCCCAAGCCATGGAACTACTAGAGTTAGACTACATATCCCAGAATTCCAAGGTTCATAACAAAGCCCTCCCCTAGTTGAGCACATGACTCTTCGTTTGAGGGAGCTGCCAACCTTTTCTGTTATTGTGCTGTTTCTACAGTTTCAGCTCGCTTTCTATTCCTGTAATAGCTTTGTTAAAATGAGGCTGCTGTGTGTGGTGACGGCGGTGTGTCTCGGTGTGGGCGTCATGGCAGGGAAATACTCTCGGGAGGTGAATGAGCCATCTCAGGGTGGCAGCGATGGGCAGACGGTGGAGTTCAGGATAGCTAAACTCAACCAGGTCTGGGAGAAAGCTAAACGGGTATGTACTTTGAAAACCCTTTATATCTTTTAAACAGGTGTAAGTTATATCTGCGCAGTGCTAGTTATTTCCTTCACATGCAAACAAAAGACGACGTAGAGGAAAAGTCCGATTTTCAGGTGAAAATCGCGCTCTTGGTTTATTAGGGTTATTATAATCCTACTATTTATTAATAAAATGAATTGAAGGAAGATGATGTTAAAATTAGCGTCATATTCGCAGCTTGATTTAAGGGTTTATTTTCGAGGATGGGGCCTCATGCATTTCTACTTTTTCTCCTCCTCAGTTTCAACAGTTGTTCTATGATCGTAAATAAAGCTTATAAACATGATGCAGTAATGTTATATGAGGCTATATATAAATGGGAAGGCTATGACTCCCCTCACTGGTAATGAGCTGTTCATTCACAGAAATGGCAATGAAGCTGAAGAAGCAAAACTTTACTGGTTCAAAGCTCAAGGATCTGATGACTGAGAGCTGAGCAGCAGGATTAAAGAAGTTGAAATTAAACTGCAAGAACTGTAAAAGAAAATACCTGGTTACACTGCTATAGAAGTTAAAATAAATTTAAGAAAATAAAAATATGAAATGAAAAACCCTTTAATCCGAATCTTCTTGGGGGAGTTTATTTGTGTGTTTTTCTTATGTTTGTTTTTGTTTTTACTTCACACTTCCTAAACTAAACTTTAAATTGTATTTAAAAATTCAATTAAAAATGAACAAATTAAAGTCAGATTTGGCTTTTAACCATGCTTAAAAAAATGATTGTGGAAAAAAAAAAATCTGAAACAAAATCCTGAACAAAAATCATGGCATCCTTAACTTAATGTTTTGTTGCAAATCACTGCAATCAAATGATTCCTGTAACTGTCAGTGATGGTTCTGCTCCTCTCTGCAGGTATTTTGGCCCACTCCTCATGAGCAAACTGCTCCTGTTCTCAGATTTGAAGGTTATGTTTTATCTCCTTCCAAAGATGTTCAGTAGAGTTAGATCAGAGTATAGGGTCACTTCAGAGTAGTTCAATGTTTTCCTCTGAGCTATATTTACTAACATTTCTAGCTGGTGTGTTTGGGTCACATCAGTTCTGTCATGAATAAAACTGTAATTTATTATTGCAGTTACATAATGTATAAATGTAACTAGGGCTGCAACAACGAATCGATAAAATCGATAAAAATCGACTTTTAAAAGCGTTGGCAACGAATTTAATCATCGATTAGTTGTGTCGCGCGATTAATGCGTCATCCGCCGCCGCCGTCATCCCGGGGAAGAAAAAAAAATATGGCGGAGCGAGTCAGCGCCGCAGTTGCAGTGTTGCCAACTCAGCGACTTTTCAGACCCCTCCAGCGACTATTTTTTTTTTAAAAAGCGACTAGCGACAAATCTGGCGACTTTTTACGGTGTCACTGGCGGCTTTTGGAGACTCTTACGTGAAAGCATGTATCGTTCCTACTCTTGTCCTCCAGCGGCAGCTGCTGCCGTGGGGCGCCTCCCCCATCCCAACGCCTTTCTCCCTCTCCCACAAGAATCCCTCTCAGCGCTGCAGTCCGAGCCGCAGGATTTTAGTGAGGAGTTTAACCTCAGCGTCCAGACTGCAAATGAAGCGCGCATGCCCCGGGATTGACGGCGCAAATTGATCACAATAATTAAAATAGCCTGCGCTTTGTAAAGTGAAAAAAGTCGTAACACGCGACTTTTGTAAAAACAAATAAACATGGCACGGAAGCACCACTGTTATGACGCAGCATCTGAAAAGAAAACATGTTGGAGCCTTCAATGGCAGTGAAGAGAGCTGATCAGCAGGATGAGTAACCATGTTTGTTTGGTTTTAAAGTGGGGAAACGTAACGTTAGTTTCTCAGGTAGCTCATCTGATGCTTTCCTTACCGTGTTAGTAGGTTACAGACAGTGATAAGGTTGGCTACTTATTTTACTTTTAATTTAATTTGAATTAGCTTAAGCAGCGTTTATATTTTCTTTATAAATAAATTAATTTGCAAATTATGAGGGCAAGGCTTTTAAAGTTTAAATCTTCTGGCAAAGATAAAGTAAAGAAGATCCTGCAATTTATGGAAGTAAAGCAGAATAAAATCCAGCAAGATCAGTAATATGTCAATTAAGTATATGCCACATTCCCATGTAAATATCTGTCTTTGGAGGATGTGTTTTTTAGCACCCCTAGTTCTCTCATTTTTATTCCAAATACAGTTTATAATTTGAATCACAGGGCTATTTTTATCTCTATGGTTCAGTATTTTCTCAAGTAGCAACTTTAACTGCTATACTTTCCTGTCTTAAAAGGCAGAACTCTTCTAGTCTAAAAAAAACCTCATTTGTTGAAATGGGGGGACCTATTGTTTGAACCCCTTAGGGGCTTTTAAAAACAAAAATGCCTGTCTCTTTTTGCGCTTTATGAAACAAAGTACCCTATATTTTGTGGATGTACAGCTACATTTCTCATGTAAGTTTGCGTAGTTTTAAAACAAACATTTATTTTTCATATTGCACCAGTACAGTAAATGAGAAACCTGTACTTGTGTGCTTGTTTGTTCTGTCTAAAATGTTTATTTTGGAATAAAGAGGTTAATATAAAAAAAATATTTTGTGTCCGATTCATCGATTAATCGAAAAAATAATCGGCCGATTCATCGATTTTCAAAATAATCGTTAGTTGCAGCCCTAAATGTAACAATGTAGCCTAATAAAATGGACCATTGCTTCTAAGTAACAATGAAAGTGGTAATTAAGTGAAAAACCAGGTTTGGATAGCAGCTCACTGATTGCACATGACTTGTACGTCAAGCTTTGAGCACTTGTTAATATTTGTTCAAACCTGAGAGAAGGTTAGAAATAAGAGAAAAATGGTGAATGCAACATTTTCTCCTAAATCACTCATGAGAATGATTTATGAACAAATTAATTTGTTCAAATGCTTGTTGCCCAGTGTGTTTTTTTGTTTTGTTTTTTTCTTGATATGCATAATTTTTCCTTCTGTGAACATAAAGCAGATTTGCCTCAGCAAAAAGTTAAATATTGTCTCATCTGTCCATAGGATATTCTCTCAGAAGTTTGGCATATTTAGGTGTGGCTTTTTTTAATCTTCCCTGGTCATCTCCCATTAAAGCCTGGGTCCCATGGTTGTATCCGACTTTTTCCATTTCAAATTTCTCATAAAGTTTTTCCATGTCACACTGACTGCAGTGTGTATAGAGAGGCTCCTGCTTCACATAGGATAGCAGATCCTGTTCTGTACAGATTTTTCTCACTTGAGATTAACAGTGCCACACATTTGACTGGGTCAGATTAATAAATGTACAAAAAAAAAACAAGAAAAACTGGGGCTGCAAGTAACAATTATTTTGAAAATTGATTAATCTGATTTTATATATATATATATATATATATATATATATATATATATATATATATATATATATATATATATATATATATATATATATATATTTTAGATGAATCGATTAATAACCAGCAAAAGGTTCCTTAAAGAAGATTTTGTTATGAAATTAAACTAGGTGAAACTAAAACTTTTCCACTTGAGGAGTTCTTGATCAAGCATATTGAGAGACTAAAAGTTCTTTTAATATATAAAAGCAAAATGTTTATTTATTTTTTTTTTTTTTTTACAATTTTGATATAACTGTTTTAAGTGGGTTGCTCTGTCAGCTAAAGTTATATTTTACAGTCTCTATACTCTAGTTTAAGATTAATCCATTACTAAATTAATTGAAGATTATTTCAATAATTGATTAATCACAATTAATCCGATTAATTGTTTCAGCTCTAAAAACAAACAGGCAGCTCGGCTACAAAGCAAAGCCTCAGTTCATGACCAGCTTGGCCAGAACAAATAGAGGTGTTAAATATATACAAGACATAGTATGAACTACATTTAAAGAAAAGTGAAGTCGATAAAGGCTGTAGGGCGGTTTATGTAGGTACTGGGTGAGGCAATCAGAGGTGATATCCAGAGAGTGATCTGTGAAGTTTCCTTAAGTTTATTTATTTGGGTTTATTTTTCATAAAGAGGACAGTAATGAGCTACACTTTACTCTTCTGCGATGTTTTGTTATTTTAAGGCTGAAAGAGGATCTCTGTTTTACTTTATCTGATTTCTGTCCTTCTGAACTCCTATTATAGGTAAAGTATTCTGTTTTGTTTAGTTTTTTTATGTTTTAATGATTATGACTGAATTTACTATATATGCTTTGTGTGACTCCAAACCTGACTGTTTTCCCTTGTGACTGAGAGAATTTATTTTGTATTTCCCCCAAAGCGGATGTGTTTTACTTTGCATCTGTGTCTCTCTTCCTGTCATACCTGTAAATTGCTGCTGAATTTCTTTATAGTCTGATTAAAATAGACTTGGGCTCTATCTTGGTCAATGCTATGCAAGTGCCCTTGCAGAAAATCATGTCGGTTGTTTACTCTCACTAAGTGCTAAGAGCCACAACCTTGTAGAACAAGATTATTTTTGTCAATCTGATGCAAAATCGTGTCTTAGTCCACTTTGGCTTAAACCACAACAGATTGTGTGATCTAACACTGATTCTGGAGCTTGACATTCACCTTTCATCGCTTTAGAAGTTTTTCTGGGCTCTTTTCTTACCATCCATATCACTGAGCTCTTTCATTTGTCATCAATTTTCCTCTTCCAGCCGTGTCCGGGGAGTTTGGCTACATTCCCATGGAGCTATATGTGCAGCTGTATTCAGGGCACATCAAGCTGCATGGAGACGTTTGTGTAACCTTTATCTTGACATGCATCTCTATAATCTATATATCTCCTGAGACAACTTTTTCCTTCACTTCCTCTGGTCCGTGTTGAGTGCAGTACACACCACGTCATCAAACAATGACTACCATAAGCTCTATATATAGGCCCACTGATGATTACAAGGTTTAATTGTTCAGTTAGAGGTGAAAGTCAGGGTACATCCTGGACCGGCTGCCAGTTCGTCTCAGGTTTTCATGAGTTTGAAATATATACGTTTTTAAAATCATCAGCTGACATATAGTTGAAAAGCAATGTCTTACTTTCAGTTTTTTTTCATTTCATAGAAGTTTTAATTATTATTACTTTTGTCAGATTCAAGTAATTTTTGTGACCATTGTGTATTTTTCTGTCATTAAACGAGGGGTACCAATAGGGTTGCAAGAATTTTGTAAATCGATTCATCTTGATTATTTTTTCAATTAATTGATGACTAGTGTTGCATGCCTTCTGGAAGGCTGGGCTCATCATGCCAGCCCAGTGTTGTGATTCTGTGAGTCAGAGGTGAGGTGATGGTTTGGTCTGTTAACCAAATGGATCTTTAGGTTAATCATATTATATTATATTCAGTAGGAAGCAGGTAGTTATATCAGTTATCTGTAATACCATTTGTTTGCTATATCTTTCTCATTTTAGTTTTGCTTCTCAACTCGAAGAAACTTAAACATTTTTACTGGAGCTAAAGCACTGCATACAGATTGTGCAAACTAACCCTCTCTTTCTGTTAACAGATGCAGCTGTCTCCAGTACGACAGGCTGAGCTGCACAGTGACCTCAAGATTCAGGAAAAAGACGAGCTGCAGTGGAAGAAAATGAAGGTGGAAGGCCTCGATGAGAACGGAGAGAAGGAGGCTCAGCTAAGACGCAATTTTAATGGTAAGACCAAACCTTCCCATAGTTTAGAAGAGTTTGAACAGGGTTGTTAAATTGTTCTGGGGCGCCTTGACCCGCCCCGTTTCTAAAGCCATTTATTATCTAAAACTAATCATTGAATCAAACCTCACAGCAAACAGTTTAGTTTGAGAGATTTGAAGTTGCAAGGGTTGCAGGATCAAAAAGTTATATTGATTTTGGCTTTATTATAAAGATATTTTAATTAATATTAATGCTTAAGTATTCTGATACTAAGTAATATTTACGATTTCTTCAAAGTATCAAAAACCAACAAACACTGTGAACAGTTTACATAGAGATGATCCTGTGCAGGGGGGTTTAAGCATGAAGAACATTTAAATGAACCAAAATATGCTTGATAACATTATGATAAAAACAGGAGGTGGTGTGTGAGTGCACGAAGGCATGTTCTCCTTCTAAACTGCAGGCGATGATGCAGCCACCCACACAAGTATCTGATGCTTTCTGCCACACGCAGCAGGTGGATGCCCTCTTCCCTGTAGCACCCCTGGCAACAGTTCATAAACAAGGCACCATACCTTCCCAAATGATCCCAGTTAACACCAGTTACATGCATATAAATCACCCAAACTATAAATGGAGGTCTTCAAAGCATTAGACGACATGGAAACAAACAAAATTTAGAAATGTTGAGTGTAGCCAGTCTCTATCTATTGTAATAAGGCACTGGTTGTTTTGATTTTTTTTTTTTTATTTCTTTTACATATAATATTTGGAACTATTATATTTTATAATAGTATTTTTAAAACCCATCAGGCAATTATCCAGTATTAAGAATTCACCACTAAACTGATCAGTTTTTGTCATATACTGATAGTCAAAAGCTTCTTTGCTGAACCCTTTGTGGTTTTTTGCAGACTCAGAGCTCAGTCAATCTCTCCTCCAGTACTGTTTATTTTTACTTATTCAAACATATATCATACATTTAGCACATGTCAACTTTATTTTATTATACGCCAATGTACAAAAACTAACATACTCACTTTATTATTGCATAAAAGTAATAAAGAAAAACTACCCAAATCATTTTAGTCTTACATGAGAATAATACGTTAGATGACTGCAAATACATTTCACTATATTCGCCAGTCTGTAAACATGGAAGTAAGAACAAAATATGGTCCTGCTGTAAGATCAGCTAACATCTTTTACCTTACAAACTAAAGTACTTACAGGAGGGGCTCTGGATATAACCACATATGTGCACAGATTGCTTTAATCTGTTATGGCCCTTTCTTTAGGGATTTGGCTGGACTTCTGATAAAAGGTTAATCGGTGATGCTTTGGGCTGGGTTTGAAGTTCAACTTAATGAGCAGTGTTTTCTATTATGGTTTCTGTGTTTTCACACAGAAGGGATGTTTGTAACCGTCTGATTCAGAAGTTTGGCAATTACTGTAGAAAACCCACAGGAGAAAGAGACAGGGCATTATGAAACTCATCTTTGTTTTTCTCTAGATATAGTTTTAAGTCGCTGCATCTTTTTCAGGCAAGTAAAGAAGAGATGAATGTTGTGGTAGACTAAAGAATAAAATATAGACCTAATACAGATTTCTTTATTGCTTATTTGTACAAATCTAAGAGGTTTTACTGATTTCTTGTCAGCTCTGGAAAATGTTTTTAAGTGTGTAAGCAGTTTTTAAAGAACAACTCTAGCATTTCCAATATTGTAAACTGTTGTAAATAGAAATGAGTGACCTAGTCGATCGGTGAGGGTCGTTATCTGAGCCTCTCTTTGCTCTCTAGTAATGGAGAAGCATTCCTGCATCTAGCAGAGCTACTTTCACCTCATTCTCTGCCCCTTTTGTTGGCTGAAATGCATTAAAGACCTCATTGAATTAGTTTTCCATTTGATCTCTGTGAATCAAAGGTTCGTCTTAATACCAGAAATACCTTCTTGTAATCAGTTCTTTTTTGTTTGTTTAGAAAAATTTCTTTGCTCTCTTTGGTTTTCTTTACATTACTTCTTATAGAACTCAGTGCGAATAATCTTGTTTCACTGTCTGCGCTCATCGTAGATCATCATTTATGCCAGAAACATTGTCTCACAGAAGTCCATCAGTCCCATAAAATCCAATCCAATCCAATCCACTTTATTTATATAGCACGGTTTAAATAAACACAAGGTTTCCAAAGTGCTGCACAAAAAGATAAAATAACTAAAATAAATAAAAGTAATAAAATAAAATAAAAGCACTGCCCGCACAGGATAAAAATATGCATGTGTATACATAAAATCAACATGTGTACATAAAATCAACATGTGTACATAAAATCAACACTCTACATAGTGTTAAAAGCCAAAGAAAAGAGGTGGGTTTTAAGAAGAGTTTTAAAATGAGACAGAGAGGTGGCCTGTCTAATGTGCAGCGGCAATGCATTCCAGAGTTTTGGAGCTGCAACAGAAAACACCATAAAACCTTTTGCTACTTGTGGTAGCCTGTTTATTGGAAAGCAGCCCTATATACTCACCTGAGACACGGGTTAATCTGTCACAGTGATGCCTTACAAGAGGGCCAAAGTGTTGCTGAATAAGCTGCTGAAAATCGGTTTACTGGAACAGAATAGTGAGTGCAGATTTTCTGAGGGGCTAAGTCCAACTTTATGAGTGGTAGGATTATAAAACATGTGGCAACTCTATTTCTTACATACAGAACAGAACAAAAAATGATGTTTTTTCATGCATTATTGGTTTAAGTGAGGTTTCCTCAATGAATGTTCAGGTAAATGGATGTTTTTCTCATCATAATGTAACATTTTATGTAGTTTCTAATGTACCATGTAAAAAAAAAAATGTTTCAGCCCAGCATCACCACCCCAGGTGTCTTTAATGTAATCACTAAAATCCGCTTTAACACGTTGATGGCCCTCGCAAAACACTGTTCTTTGCTTTTCTTTTTAAAATGTGTGTATTTGATGACTTTCTGTCAAGAGGGTTGAACAATGAATCTCCAGGTGTGACTCACTTTATGTACTACAAAAAACTGCTTAAGGCATGATTGTGTATCAACAAATGTAATTATACTGTCATGGGTATATTCTGCAGTGATCCTGGCTAAGTATGGCATGGACGGGAAGCGGGACATGCGGCCAATGGAGAGCAACTCACTAAAAGACCATGAGGCCAAAGACGGGGACGCATTCGATGATCCCAAACTGGACAAGCTCTGGAACAAGGTGTGTGTGTGTTCAGATGTTGGTTAAGTTGTTCACTTGGTGCATATTTGTGTGTTTAAAGGAACACTGTGTAACTTTTGTTCATTAGGGATGCTGGACCTCTAACTGCCTGTATTTTGCTTCTACTTAACATCTGTCATGGTCTCTAGTTTTCTGACCCACATGCGAACACACTGAGGAGAAGGGTAGGGCAGATTTAAAATCAAGAACGACATAAGGAGTGTCTTCAGGGTGCCTGGAAATGAAGTCCGGTGAGGCACACTAGAGCGAGAGTTAATGGGAGTATGTGTACGATGAGAACGACACTAAAAGGCTTACCGCGTGAGACATGAACAATCCACTGGGGGAAGTGAGCAAGGCCACGGAGGTCTGTAAGCGGGAAATGCAGGAGCTTGCAGTGGGGAAGTTGGCTGCCAAGTGGGCGGAGGCTCGATCGGTGGAGGGTTAGGCAGGGCTCGACTGATGAGCAGCAAGTGACAAAGTGTTGAAACTCTGAGAGGCTGCGGAGTGGACCAGAGGCTGATCGGCTCGGCAGAGATCTGTAATTCACGGAAGGTGCTCCGAATCACCTGCGCACTACAACTGACCTCCCTGCTAATCAGCAGCCACCTGCAGGAGAGAGGGAGGGAAAAAAGCTATTCCTTCCACACAGTCCCTTTCACGTTTTCTCAGAAGGTATTAACTTTTTCCTTGCCTCAGCCATGACCAGTAGTCGAGAAGGCTGGCAAATAGTATAGCAAAAGCCTTAGCTCCATGACTATATAGGAGCCTGCAGCCATAAAGCCATACGTTCTTCCAGGTCACATGACCAGGCCAATTACTGCCTGACCATCAAGAGCTGTATATTGGCTTGATGAATCATTTAAAATAACTCATATGCAATAACACTTTAGGTTACAAAGTCTGCGGTGTGCCTTTAACTAACAAACGTTAGCAGTGTTACGTCTTTACACATAGTCTTCTACCACATTATATCGATAAACAATATAAAAGTAAGGCTTTAGTGGTACTTGCAATCTGTGGTCTATGAGGTAATTGTAGACGTTTAAGGACCTACACACTAAGTTTATAGAGTATTCAAAGGTAAAAAACAATGAAAGGAAAAACATTAAATTAGAGAAAATAGAATTCTTGGTTTTGTAGCACAGCTGCATTATGAAGCAATGTAGTTGGTACTACATAGCTGAAAACTTAATGAGTTGATCAAGCTGAATAAATTGCATTCTGCATCCTTTTTGCCATTGAATAGTGGAAATAATCCTGGATGGTACTTCCAATCAATTCATGCCTTCCTCTGCTGTGGCATTAATCCACTTGAGGTTCTGCTTAAGAATAAATGGCGGCGCCCTCTAGAAGACGGTAGTAACATTACAAAACAGAAAAGCATTCCTTTGAAGCAGACTGTCAATTAATCGGATAGAACAATTTTGTATATAATAAATCATAAATGGACAATTAGTAGATCTTTTGTATTAGAGAACTTCTGATACGATTCCAATGCTTGTGCTTTGAGTATTGGCTGATATTGAGTACCGATACTTAAAATATACATAATGATACTTAATAATATTGTGAAAAGATTATTATTTTGGTAAGGTCTGGCTGAGGTTAAGCCCTTGAATGGAAACTTGAAAGAATACAACAAAATTTAAGTATAAAATACAAAAAACAGTGATAGTAATAGTAGCAAGCTCGAGACAGGTGTGTGGTGATCAGCTCTTCACCCGTCTAAAACAGCAGGTTGAATCAGAGGCCAACTGTTTTAAAAGCTGCGAAGAAGAACTGTGTCAGAAATAACAGAACTAACCAGTAAATAGATTCCTATTTTAATCCCTGTTTTAAATCACTATTTGCCATCGGTATCAAAGCCTGGACTTCAATACCGATGGCAGCATTTTCGGCAGTATCCAAGACATTTCCAATACTGGTATCGGAATCAGAATCTGTATTCATCCCTAATGTGGGTACCATGGCCTCAGCATTTACATCCTTTGTACTAAAAGTTTACATGACCTAATGGTATTTAAACTTAAGTGTGTCGCAGTGAGCTTGACGCATACATTTTTGGTTTATGCTCAATTTTGAAGCGTGATCTGCGCCACAACTCAAGAGAATCAGGAAATAACTGTAGGTCTAGATACCGCCGAGGCGGTGAGGAAGTGGGGGCAAGTTTGTGCGACAACGGCGGGACATGAGGGCGAAAAAGAGCGGGGATCCAGGTGGGAAAAGGGTCCCAGCGTTCTTGCCGCCTTGCCCTTCCATCTGGTCAAACTTCACAAGTTTATTTTCCGCAATTGTGGTCATAAAAACAAAACAAGCCGGCCTCCTGTCTGCCGGACTGTCTGCGGTCACCTACAATTTGGGAGAGGTGCAGCAGAGTGTCTGCGGAGCGGGCGGGGACATCTTTTTGTTCACTGCGACACCTACGCGGACAACCTAGTTTCGAAGTTTAAATCAGCTTTAAGTTGTCAATGCCTGTAGTAGCTATGTGTTATTTCTAAATGTTCTTGATAACCTGTTACTTTTGAATTGAACTCTTCTCTGTTGTATTTTGCCAACAGGCCAAAACCTCTGGGAAGTTTTCCAATGATGAGCTGCAGAGCTTAAAAAGAGAGTTTCAGCACCACAAGGACAAGATCCATGAGTACAACCTCCTGATGGATACGGTCAGCAGGACAGAAGGTAAGCCACCAAGAGAAATATTTCCTCTGGAGCTAAAATAGAATAAGTCTGTGCAACTGTAATAATATAATTTATAAAATTGTATCCTTTTAATTCATAGACTTGAGCTACAATCATGAATCCAGCTATTCTTTATAGAGTAGCACAAGCTGATGATTGCTAGTGATTTATTTGGGCTATCCGTCTTCATTCTTCCACGGTAGGCTGCTAGCAAACGTACAACCTTTAACGTTCCAGCAGCTGTTCTTATATCAACACTTTCCCTGTTGCCTCTGCCTATGTGTTTTTAGCAAACAGAAATACTTGAAATAAGCCAAATTTGTTTATTGTTTAAGTTCACGATTAGAGCAGTAGTTGTAGTTCTGCCAGCTGATCAGCAGTGCACAGTTAAAGGTGAGACTGCTGCTTTAAACTGTTCTGTGCTCCTACAATCAGTAGAACCACTTTAAAAGGTTGAAACCATTGGATTGTGTATTTTAGAAGTTAACTGTAAATTTTTAAAACATTTGGTGTGTATCTTATTTATAACACCACTAGGGGTGGGTATTGGCAAAGAAGTCATGATTCGATTTGAATCACGATTCACATGCCACGATGCGATTCTATCAGGATGCTTCACGATACTTGAAATATTGCGATATTTTCACTGAACACTGTAAGAAAAAGATACAGCCCTTACCAGTGGCTGACTGGCTGTGTATGACCTGGATAGTGTCTTCAATTGATACATAACTGAAAGCAACTGAATTCATACATAGCTGTATTTATTAAAACGACTTTTGGAGGTGTTGCCATGAAAACAAATACTGGACAGAAATATTACAATTACTGGCGTGGACACTGACAAAAAGATCTTAGGATTCCTCAAACTTAAAATAACAAAATAAGGATAATCAGTGCCGTTTACATGGCCTCAGTGGTCCTTTAAACCAATGAAATTATAACATTCAAATGTTTATTTCTCCTTTTGCAAATTACGTGCATCATATCAATTTCGTTTTTACCTTCTTTGTTTTTAAAGCCAGAATGCATCCAAGCATCTGACTTGAAATGTGATGGAACCGCGGGGCGAATTTTCAGTGTCCTCCCTGTTTATTTCATATGACTCGTCGCAGTATCCTACGGCTGGACATGCTTGTGACACAAAGCAGCGGGCGTCAACTCATCCGCAGCGACATCTGCTGGACTGGAAGTTGTATTCCACTTGGTTTGGCTGATGTGCGCCAACCATTAATGTATTTTATTTGTTCTTTTCTTTTTTTTTATAACCGATTTTTGCCTTCAAGAATCGATGCAGTAGATCACAAAAATTAGAATTGCGATGCATCGTCATGACAATTATTTTGCACACCCTTAAACACCACATGATTCAACTTAATTCATGGGATCCTTTCATAATTAGATTTTTTTCCATCTCTCACTGCAGGGTGTAGCTATTGCTTACTCTTGATGGTCAAAGTTTACTATTGACATATTTAGATGAACATAAAGTTTTTTCCAAAGGATATATCTCTAAAGCAGCAGTCTTAAGTGTTTTTTTTTCTCTTTGGGAGCACAGATTGATCAACAGACTGGGATGTGCTGTCAAGGTTTTTAAGAGCCCCTGGTGTGGCTGCATAGCACCAATCTTATCGGTCAGAAGTCTGAGGAGTTCTGAGTTTACCGTTCAGTTCTAAGGTCAGGTAGCAGGTATCAGAAGGGACATCTTCCCATCCAATGCTCTTTGCTCTGTCACTGCTCATCACATCAAATAGTGAGAGTTAAGCAGAGCTGACAGGACCTCACCAGTGTTTCACATGGACATGGGGGGATGGATGTCTCTTTCAGACCAAACTGGTTCTCAGCATCTGTTTCCTGCCTAAACTTTTTTTTTAATATATACTTCACAGCATCCGTGTCACTGCAAGAGAAGCCAGGGGTATTTTTCTGGTTGTCCAACACATTTAAATATTGAGCCAATCACATGGTGCCTGTAGGGGGAGGGGGGGTTGCTCTCTGTTTACCTCCAGCACATCACCTCTTCTTCTGCTCGCTGTCTCTCTATTCACTGGTTTTCATCTTTTTTTTACTTTTGATCTAAATGTCAGTTGGTATTATTCAGCCAAGCGGCCTTTGTTTGAGTTTTTTTCCGCCTTAAAGATGAGACAGACTGGAATATCATCACCGGATGCTGTTAGCCAGTAAGCTCAGACGGTTCTCACAAAGGAACAGATTTAAATAACAGAAGATCAGACCAATTGTCCTTTAAAGATATTTCAGAGCATCTATTAAACTCTTTATTAAGCACTTGTTTGCTTTTTCTTCCATCCATTTCCTTTTCTTTATTCCTTCCTTGCCCTCTCTTTGTCTTATTCCCAAACACCTCCTTTCATCCCCTTGTCTCCTGCTCTCTTTTTAGAGATTCACAAGAACGTCATCTCCTCGATAGAGGGCGATGCCAAAGAGCATGTGCTGCAGCAGAAGCACACTGAGCTGAAGGAGAAGATGAGAGACCTCAACCACGGCTTCGAGCGCCTCCGTAAAATCAGCCATGAGGGCTTCTCTCAAGACAGCGGTGAGGAAAGAGAAACACATCTCACTCCTCATTTACCTGAACTCTGTTCACGGTAATGTGTAAATACAGTAATACTCTGCTGGGAGGTAATGCTGGAGGCATAACACAAATGTTTTAGTGGAAATTCAATTACGTTGCTATTGGGAAATGCTAGAGGTTATTTAAAGCTGCTTTCAAAGTTAAGTTCTAGTGTTGACGTAAATCGGTTTGTCCTTTCCATTTAATAGTTTTACCCTTTTTAATATTTTGCTATAGATTGGCTGCCTTTTTATCTGTCCTTGCCTGATAGAATCCATCTTTTGTGCTTTTTTCTTTTCTTTGTAGGCTTCAGTTGCCAGATGGATAATTTAGGTGAAGACTTTTTTTGTTGTAGTTCTGGACTACTGTCCTCTTTGAAAGCATTTTAGTAGTTTTTATCTTTCTTCTCCTCATTTGTGGAAGAGAGGATGTGTTTTTAGAAATCTTAACCCAAGCATTTGATGCAGGGTTTCCAAGTAGGCATACAAGAGAAGCACACCAGGATAAATAAATAATGAAAAACTGTGTGAGAAAATGAAACTAAAACATTTCCACTTGAGGAGTTAAGCATTGAGCATTTCTCAGAAGAAATCTTTTTTTTTTTTTTTGTATTACTTTTAAATAGAAAATGTTTATATCTTCTTTTACAATTTTGGTACATTTAGTGTTCTGAGTGGGTTTCTCTATCAGCTAAAGTTGTGTTTAAGTCTTCTTACCACAGTTAATACTAAATCTATTACTAAATTATTTGATGATTATTTCAATAATTGACTAATCTGATTAATTGTTTCAGCTCTACTGTGATAAACAAGTTGGCCAATTTTCCTTTTCAGTTGTCGAGGCTTTCAGCTAAATATGGAAAAAAATATATAAAAATGCATTAAAGGAAGAAAACCTCTGGTATCAAGAAAAAAACAAAACAAAAAGCATGGCCCTTTTAAGAGGGTAGTGATGGTATATTGTGTTTCTCATAAGGTGGGAATCTATGATGCTTTATCCAGTGAGGAGGAGGAAGTCAGGAGCAATATCACCAGAGAGCAATAGCCTAGGAGCCTAATGGAGCTAACGAGATGAACCTCCTGTGGCGAGTAGCTGTCTGCTTCTAGTTCCCTAAAGTAGAAATGACTGCACATGGCAAAAACCGTGATTTAAGAAACTAAAGCTGCCAACTTGCAGGCAGACATAATTTCGGCTACAGTTGGTTCCAAGGTTTTTATTTGTTCATATCAGCACACTTTTTTCCAAAGAGCTTTATCTCTGGAATCCTATCAGTGAGCCGTGTATCAGTTTTGTAAAGCTTGGCTGCAGTGAATGGAAGCAGCTGAAAGTCTCACCTGTTTGCATCTGACAGTCACTGTTGCAGCAGATAATTAGTAAACATGCAGGGGCCAGCAGAGGTCGATTGACTTAATATAAAGGCCATCAGCAGGTATTTTGTATTGGCAGAAGATGCATAAGATGGAAAAAAAAAATCCTAAATGACAAAATTTCCAGCATCAGAAACTTTATGCTCCCAAACCGCATCATGGTTCCCTAAATCAGTGTTTTCCACCCAGGGGTATGTGTGCCCCTAGTGGTCCGCAGGGGTATTGCAAGAGGTACATGAAAATATCTTCTTAGGCAGTAAAATAAAATAGGGCTTGGATCTGTTCTGCTTTGTTGGGAAAATTAAAACAAATTTAAAAAGATTTTATCAACCAAAAAGTAGGTTTTTCTTTGAGTTTACTTTCAACTGTGACCCGCATCAAAACCAGCACCCCAAACCAACGGTAAGACAACATGCCTAAAGGGGTACAAAAGTCAAAAAAGGCCCTAAATGGTCTGCCTGCTGAGTCACTGTGAGAGCAGAGTAGCAGTGGGATAAACCGTTTATGTTCTTATCAAGCTGCTTATTTTTCCTTTCCTTCAATCTGAGATTCTTCTTTACTGGATCTTTGCTCATTTTTGTGTTGCCAAGAAAACGGTCCATGTTCTGCTCATACTAGGTGGTCCTCCTCTGTGATGGGGATTCATAGGTTTTTTGGTAACATCTTCAGCCAAGTCTTATTTAATTGATCAGTCTCCCTGGTAATCAAAGGATTTGCATTTTCCTAAAGATACACTGCCTGGCCAAAAAAAAAAGTTGCCACCAAAAAAAGGTCATTCACTCTAATACTTTGTTAGACCGCCTTTAGCTTTGATTACGGCATTTGTTGTGGCATTGTTTCGATAAGCTTCTGCAATGTCAAAAGATTTATTTCCATCCAGTGTTGCATTCATTTTTCACCAAGATCTTGCATTGATGATGGTAGAGTCTGACCACTGCGCAAAGCCCTCGCTAGCACATCCCAAAGATTCTCAATGGGGTTGAGGTCTGGACTCTGTGGTGGCCAATCCATGTGTGAAAATGATGTGTCATGCTCCCTGAACCAGTCTTTCACAATCTGAGCCTGATGAATCCTGGCATTGTCATCTTGGAATATGCCTGTGCCATCAGGGAAGAAAAAGTCCATTGATGGAATAACCTGGTCATTCAGTATATTCAGGTAGTCAGTCGACCTCATTCTTTGAGCACATACTGTTGCTGAACATAGACCTGACCAACTGCAGCAATCCCAGATCATAACACCGCCCCCCCAGGGTTGTACAGTAGGCACTAGGCATGGTGGGTGCATCACTTCACCTGCCTCTCTTCTTACCCTGATTGGCCCATCACTCTGGAACAGGGTAAATCTGGACTCATCAGACCACATGACCTTCTTCCATTGCTCCACAGTCCAATCTTTATGCTCTCTTGGAAATTGAAGCCTTTTTTTCCGGTTAGCCACACTGATTAGTGGCTTTCTTAAGGCTACACAGCTGTTCATTCCCAATCCCTTGAGTTCCCTTCGCATTGTGCGTGTGGAAATGCTCTTACTTTCAGTATTAAACATAGCCCTTAGTTCTACTGTTGTTTTTCTTCGATTTGATCTCACCACACGTTTAAGTGATCGCCGATCACGATCATTCAGGATTTTTTTCCGGCCACATTTCTTCCTTGAAGATGATGGGTCCCCACTATCCTTCCAGTTTTTAATAATGCGTTGGACAGTTCTTAACCCAATTTTAGTAGTTTCTGCAATCTCTTTAGATGTTTTCTCTGCTTGATGCATGCCAATGATTTGACTCTTCTCAAACAGACTAACATCTTTTCCACGACCACGGGATGTGTCTTTTGACATGGTTGTTTAGGAAATGAGAAGCAAGTCATTGCATCAGTTGGGGTTAAATAACTTGTTGCCAGCTGAAAGATAATCACCCATGCAGTAATTATCCAATAGGAGGCTCCTACCTATTTGCTTAGTTGAATCCAGGCAGTATCATTGGACAGTGCAGCTCTAGCTGCTGCCACTCGCTGTTTGCTCTGCATGTAAATGGGACACCAGTGGTATAATGTTCCTGTTTTATGTGTAGCAGACACATACCAAATTCCTAAAACTCATTTCATGGAGATGCTTATCACACATGATGTACAAATTATTGTATTGCCTGCACGCTCTCACTCGTATTAAAAAAGCACCACCTCACATAATCTAAAATCCGGGATAATTTATCCGACTCATGGGCATCTGTGAACAATATCTATATCAGGGAGACTCCTGGAACTTCTGGGAGCCTTGGGATGTCTGGTGTTGTTTAGATGTAAACTCTTTGGCATTTGCTAGATGGATTTTGTGTAATCTGTCATTCTTTATCCAACCCAACCCTTTAATATATGTATAGTTATTTATATTTTACTAGAAAGCCACTGATCCGTTAACAAGTAATTGGAATATTAAATTACTTGTTATCAGTTAAGTACACGGTACCAAGAGACAGTTTTTTTTTTTTTGTTTCTTGTCAATTAAAAGAAATGCAACTAAAAACTCATCAGTGTTGGGTCTACACTTATCAAACCACTTAGTGCAGTTGGCTTTGACTTGGACATTATTCCATTGTTCCTGCTTATTCTGTTGGATTCAAAATGACAACCTCTGCTAAACTACCTACAGGACAGATTCACTATGATGGTCACTGTGTCTTACATTTAATCACAGTAATGAGAATGTCTGCTTCTACTGCTTAGGGGGAAAATTAAAAACCTAAACGGTCTGTCAGGAAAAGCCTAATCAGAATCTTGCCGTGTTTTCCTTCTAACAGACAGAATGAACAAATTCATCAAATAGGTACTGCTTTACCTTTCAATTTATATTTGCTTCTAATCTTATCCACAGTGTTGTATGAGTATGTCTGGTGAATTAAAAGTAAATGCTGTATGTGGGATGGGAAAGCTAAACAACAAATCTTTAAATATTAGCCAAGAAGTTATTAAAAGTTTTGACTGTGAAAATATTTGGGAACACTGATCATCCATAATTTATGTGCAGAATAAATGTAAACACAGTAAAACATCCACTGACTGTGCTCAGAGCTTTGTGCCCATTTTAAAGCTGTTTTAAACCCTCTCTCTATATTATCTCTTCATCTTTCTGCCTCTCTACCGTTGCTCTGCAGAGTTTCGGGAGCCGCGTGTGATTGAACTGTGGGAGGCTGCAAAGAGGGCAAACCTCAGCAAAGATGAGCTGGAGTCTCTCAAGGTGAGGCTCACAGCACTTTTAGCTGGTTTGGGATGATTCTGTGTCAGTCTGCCTCTAGGAAACAGTTTTATATTAGCACATTTTAACTCAAGAGGTTCAGCTTAGAAACGTATAACTCAAGGGCTCTTTTAGTGGAAGCCGTATCAAATGTATTACTTTGCCCTCCACTTGGTATCGAAGCCAAGATCAGATGGATCACAGGGCCACATTCAGCTGGAGTTTACACCAGCATTTCTGCTTTATTCATACATCAAGTGTTTTTCAGCTGCACCGTGCATGTAATGAGGTTGAACTCGCCTCGCTCGGTTCATAGCCTTCTTTTCTGTGTTCACTCAGGAAGAGCTGCGTCACTTTGAGACCAAGGTGGAGAAGCACAGCCATTACCAGGAGCAGCTGCAGCTGTCTCACCAGAAGCTGCAACATGTCGAGTCTCTGGGTGACAAAGAGCACATCAAGAGGAACCAGGAGAAGTACAACACCCTCGCTGAGAAGACAAGGGAGATGGGCTACAAGGTAAAAAAGAAAGGACATTTCATTTAATAAAAGAAGAAAGAAAAAGAGTTACTCTGAAACTCCAGTTAGAGCCTTTGTAACAAAGCAGAAATTTTTTCAAGCCCAAATACGAACTTTTTAAACCTTATATTTAAAACATACTGATTATTGTATGTTTTAACAAGAGATTAATTATCTACGCTGGGTTCAGTCGGGCTCCTGAAAACTGTTTTATTATTTCTCAAGTCTGGATAAACATTTTTCTGAAGTTCTTAATATTGTTGAATAGAGGCATTGTTTTTTTTTATTACATATAGCAGTGTTTCTAAGGTAGGCAGTGCCCCATTAAAGAGCCTTCATGCGAAACAGCGACCGCTCTCACCAGTATCAAGTGAGATCTAAAGTGTTGTCAAACAGCGGCACCGCGTGGAGAGAAGAGAATGCCGAATGCTGAGGTTTTAAAATCTCCACTTTTCTGTTAAATTACGTTACAGCAACCAATCAGGGACTGGTTGTGGTTGTGACATAGGTTAACGAAGTGCAGCCGATACAAAGCTTTTTCCCAGTCAGGATGGAATATAAAGGAAATAATGTTCACAAAGTGTGAAATACGGAATGCTCTGAAGAGGCTTTTAGGTGGCTTTTAAAAAAGCTGTTTTAATTTAGCTGTAGAAGTACTGCTCGTCCACCTGATTTACCTTCAGCACAAACACCAGTCAGCCACTGCCTCTCCCCAGTACTGGTGCTCTCTACCCAGCTAGATACAAGGAAGTATCAATACGGCATCCAGAAGCAGCTCTGCATGAACCAAAGTGGTCTACTTTTACAAAAATTGATGGTCACCCCAGGCTGATTCAGAAGTTGTGTTCTGAGAACATGTTGTAGCAGTTTGTTATGTCACTCTTTACCTGTTATTGTTTGTGAACTGCAGATTGTTTTCTGTGTTGAAAACGTGTTCATCTGAAATGCACAGCAGTGAGCTCCCCGTTCTGCTTGCAGAAATCACTGCAGTGTGGAATGGCTTTATGTTTTCGTTGCTCTTTGAATCCAGAAACAAAACAATGCTGTAGTACGCTTCCCATCGAGCTGTATGGCATAAGGCTCTGGTTTAATCTAAATATTACTCTCTAGGTAAATTCCATCTGTAACAGCCTGTTTACATTTGAAATAGCATTAGCAAATTTAGATTATTTAAAGTACAATATTCAGATTTAACAAAGTAGATCCAGGCCAAGTCTTATGGGGGTTTCGCTCAAATTTAGGACTATATAAGACATTCTTGTAGTCTCTGTTTAATTTTAGTTCCTGAAGTGTTTTTTGATCACAATTAAGTCACAATTATGACGTGGATTTGTTTAACTAATCAATATTTTTTCAAAGCATACATTTGTGTTTCATCTTAATCTTTTTAACCATAGGGGTTGAATGAATAAATAAGAAATGAAAACATTTACCAAATTTATCTGAAAAACTAAAAAAAGGGAAAACTCCAAACATTTCTCTAGTCTCAAGGCTGCATTGAAACCCTGCCTTTGTGCCCCCAAAGTCATAGAATCTAATCTCTGCAGTCTGAACCAACAAACCATCCAACCTTTTAAATGAAGGTAGTTTCTGAAATCCAGGCTCCTGTATTCTGCAGGAACTGAGCACTACACACATTGTGGTAAAACACTTGAGTAGCCTGCTATTAAAACACACATACATGATTTTTTACATCTAATTTTCATTAGTATCAATTAACGTTTTCACCAATTAGGGATTTAATTTGTTACATGATATAAAATTAACCCATGTTTAGCAGCTTCAGCCCAGCATCCATCTTACCACTAGAGACACCATCAGAGTGTTGCCCGGGTTACTGGTCAGTTGTTGAAATGAAAAAAGGTAGATCAATGTGGCTCTTTTTTATGCTTTTTGAATAATTGTTTTTTCTTAAATTAGAGTTTTTATGGGCTTAACATCATGTTACTCTTTGATCTGTTGACTGCTTTAAAAGATTTTCTACTTTCAACCATTAACTTGTTTTAAGATGATTTATAAAGGCAGCAGTTGGACTTACTTTGCCACCAAAGGAGGCGCCTCCTTGGTGGCATAGTAAGGATGGATGTTATGAGTAAAGCAGGCTAAGACTACCCTCTGAGATCTCTCTTTTGTACTCGTACTCTGCTCCATTTGGGGGAAAAGAAAGAGCCAGTGGGTGAAATTCCATTATGTTGTATTTCACATTGTTCTGCTTCATGCTGTACTGATTAGATGATCATCTGAACCCAAACGCTGTAATTACAAGTGGGGCTTAAGCTGCTTTCCATTTACTTCAGAGCCAGGAAGTCAGAGTGACATAATCTCCTAGGTGATGGCATCCCCCACTTCACTGCTTTTGTAAAGTTCAAAAACAAAACATGGAGGCCCACAATCTGCATTACTTAAAGCTGGTCCCTACAGCCACTGTTACAATAACTAAAATGCTACCCCATGTGTTACAATATTTGTTCATATAACAATTAAAAAAATAGCACAAATAGGAATTAGTGGTTGAAATAGTGCTGTAGTAAACTGTGCAGGTCTGCAGCCAGACCCCTCTCAGAACTTTTACTTCTGCTGATAGGTGTAGCAGCCATCTTGAATGTGGAAGGTGGGTTTGTCTGTGCTGGTCAGGCTTTTGGTGCATAATTTCCCCTTTCTAGGGTTTTCCAGGTCACAAAGTCCGACTTTGAGGTTTGAAAGGAATTATGCATAATTTTACCAAATACTGAGCAACTCTTTCTACATAAAAACATTGGTACAATTTTTGTGCAACAATAAATGCGGACATGATCTCTTTGCTCTGAGGACTGAATACTTTTTTGTTATTTAGAGCTTTAGTCAGTTCCAGAGAAAATGTTTAAAATTACATTTTTTTTATCATTAAACATAATGTCAATTTGCTGAGTAAAACCAGGGGAATAAAACAATCTCAAGTGGTCTCTTACCCTCTATCTATATATCATTCTGTGTTGTAACACAGTAGAAACTAAAGTGATATTTAAGGTCCCTGTAAATCTCAGTGCTGCAGGGATAAAACTCTCTCACTAACCCGTGCCTGTCTCTTTGTGATTTCAGATGAAGAAACACCTGCAGGACTTGTCCAATAAGATTTCGCGTCAGGGTCTGCAGCACAACGAGCTGTGAGGGACCCGAAGGCTCATAAAAGAGCAGTTGAACCTAAAACAGCCTGTTTGAACTGTGGAAAGACATTCCTCTCAACTACTGAAGAAAAAAAAACATGCACAGGTTCCTATTTTTTATGAGTAAATGAATGAATAATTTTACACAGTTTGCAAATCAGATTCACATTCTTTGTTCAACTAAATGATCAAATAAAACAAGTTACTAATGGAAAACAATCATACCAATAGAATCTATTGTGATTAGTAAGATAAAATAAGTAATGCAAAAAAGCAATTTTAGCACTTAGGGCCACATTATACTTGTTATTCAGTAGAATATTTCTATTTACATTTTGCTACCATCACTGGCACTTATTATAAGATGGTCTACTGAAATAACTGATTTGATTAACAAGATGTAAATAAAAGGAAACAAGGGGTTAATACAGACAAGAACATAAAGTCCCAACATTTAATTTTCATAAATAAAGAAGCCAGCAGTACACATAGATGAGGTCCTAAACATATTTAATGTATGTGAAGAACTGTTTTTTTTTTGATAAAGTGAATTCGTTATTTACATGCATTACAGTAAAAAAAAAAATATTAACAGCATATAATTGGTATAGTGTTACATTTTCATGACTTGTTTTCTTGTCTTCTCTTCCTCAGATACATTAGGTAGAAAACTGAAGCTGTAAAATATTAAATAGCTTAAAGTTTGTCTAATGATGTTTGAAATTTTAGAAGCTGGAGCTCAAATTGTCCTTTTCCATCGTTGGCGCCTTCCCTCAGAGAGCCGCTGCAGCAGAAGCATTGATTTCTAAGATGAATAATGTCAGCGGCCGGCTGATAACTCGGCTGTGTCCTGCTCAGCCCACACGGGCTCAGATTAATGTCATTTGCAATGGAGATCCAACTCTAAGCCGCTTATTTCAACAGAGCGCTTTGCTGCTTTGATGTGGAATTATAGCTCTATGAGATGGGACTATTACACTCAACTGTTGGTTTCACTAAACATAGGGGGGTTGATCTTGAGATCACATCTTGCTACAAACCCAAACAATGGCTGTTTGTAAATGTCTAAATAATTTCCAAACAGCTGTTTGTTGTCTAAATCAACCATGACTTTGGTGCCATTCCTTCCTAATCAAGTCAGTTTTTACTGAAGCACCAGTCATGTAAAAACACAGTTATAAGTGCATTCTGTCCAAGACAAACACTAATTAATAAACAAATTACATTTAACAAGATAGCAGCAGCATAAAGACGACCCACACACTATCATACTTGCAGTGGAATGGATTGCTTGTGGAAATGACAGCACGCTGGAGAACCTGTGGGTGTGTTTGATTACAGCAGAGGTTCAAATGGCCGATTGCAGGCAGCTTTTCTTGCTCATTCGGAGGAGGGGACGGGAGGGAAGCTGCAGTAGGAAACTGCTCTGAAGTGCTTTTGGAGTTTGGCGTGGCAGAGTCAGCTTGGTGGCCCCCGCCACCTGCTCTCCAGCTGAGTCAGCCTGTCCTCTCTGCCCTGAACATGCTCCACCCCCACACTTTGAGCCGTTTCCATGGGAGCAACGTCGAGGTGGGCGTACCTGATGGAGTCATCCTCTGATTGGGGGGGAAGAGTATTTCGGGCGTTAATTCACATCATGCTTTAACTCACTGACAGCAACATTTTTTAGCCACATTATTTCTGATGAATTACTCTTCACTTCTGTTCTGGTAACTGAAATGCATTTTTCCATTTATGCATTGATTTTTTGATATGTTTTATTCCTAAACATTTGGTTTGAAATTTAAATTTTTTTTTTTTACATTTTTAAATGGCGTCATTTTCACTTTTGCTATTAAACAGTATTAAATATCTTTGTTTGTGTCCTGCTTATTTTGTGTTTTATCTCCCTTGCAGAGTAATATTTAAGCGGTAATTTAACCCTTTATATCAACAAACTAATGTACACAGTGTGAATCATCTAGTCATATATAAAAGATTTAGAAAATAATCAGAGTTTACAATATGGATGGAAAATAGCTGCTGAGTTGCTCGCTCTGTTTGACTGAACCTGACATTTTCAAACAAATCAATAAACAAATAACCTTCACATGCTGTATTGCTGTACAAGAGAAGATAGGGGAGGAAAAATGTGCTTCTAGGAACTGGAAAAAGCAACTGATGTAAAGCATTGGTCTGGTGTTTGTTCTTACTGTGTCTGTAGAGCTGCAGGACGCCATGTCTCTCAGCTTCGTATGGACCAGACTGATGAGTGGAGCTGTGTAGTTTCAGCTCTTTGGTCGTGTGTTCAAGGGCAGAGTTTGGGATTCTAACGTAGTTATAACTATAATCTGTGTGAAGGTCAGAGGATGGAGACCGATGAGATTCTTGAACAGATGGGATGAAAGCTGAAGGAAAGGTATATATCAAAGGTTAATGTTTGAGTATTTTCCATTAATTCATTGTTTTCTTATCTATGATCAGGCTGTACAGTAATTAGACCAGGAGGAAAGATCTTAGCTCAGTGACAATCTTCTCCTAAGCCGTCCTCTCCAACCTATTCCAGGAGATGTGAAGGTTTATCCTGACTTTAAGGGAGATGTTTTCCATGTTCTCTCATTGCAGAGTTCAACCAGCACTGGACTAATGGAACTTTGCGCCCACAATTCGAACACAGCTTTTCCTTTTTGTCAACAAGTACTAGAAAGCCTTTAAAATAAAGTACCCTACACTCCTACAACACTCCCACAAAATACATCAGGGGACATGTCCATAAACCTCCAGATCTATAAAGGTAGTGGGACAATTTGTTTCAGAAAACTGACAAAACCAAGGCTCTATCCTGATGCTTCAAATTGTAGCTCCTAATTCCTATCATTTCACCTTTAGGGTCAACAGTAAGAGATCTATCCTGGGTAACAAAGGAACTTTGGACTGCTCTGCTGAATCTGGACACCGTTTAACATTATGGACATCATTACCCATGAATTCAGTGGTCAAATTTGGGGCACACTGTAGCTAACAGCTAAAGCTTTCCTTTATAAAACCCAGAACATAAGAAGGTGTGTACATCATGAAGTAATCTTTCATTTCTGTTCATCAGAGGGGCTGTGTCTATACTTCCTGTCATGGAAAAGGTTAAGGGCAACCATACAGCTGGGAACATCAGGAGATCCCTATGCTTGATTATTGGTGCTAGGAAGCATCCTGCTTCCTTCTAGCTCCTTCCTTCCTTACTAGATAGAACGTCTTTACTGATTTGAGGTATTCAGATGGAGTCCATTACTTTTATTGAACCAAAGATGATTATTTCTTACAAAATGCTGACGATGTTCTGAGAGAACCCAGCGTTAGAGGAGGAGGCGGAGGGGGAACTGAGGGTGGTGAACATGACAGCATCCTCCTCTGATCTTTGAGTTTAACAACATCCTCACTACCCCAGAGTTTCTCTTTTGTACAGGAGTCGGTCAAGAGAATATTTTATCACATTAGAAAATGTCAAAATAAAAAACAAAAATAGCTCTTCTTTTCTATTCCAGGTTCAAATGTTATGGTTTCTGAAGAAATCCAAAAACATGAAAAATTCTATTCAAATAAAAAACAGATTTTAATGAATTATTATTGAACTGTCTAAATATAATAAACAAATTAAAAAAGGTTTGTACCTTGTGTTTTTATAGAAAAGGAAGGAGAAAGATCTGTTAATGAAGAGCCGTTACCCTAGATATGAGACAAAGAGAAAAACTTTATTGTAACATGTGCTTTTAAGTGCTTTTTGCTGTGAATAGGGAAAAAAATGAAACCACATTTTAACAAATAAATACCTCAAAAGTTTAAAGTACATTTGTATTAAGTCCCCTTTATTCTGGAACAATAATCCCATTTAACCAGCTACAGTCAGTTAAAAACAAATTCCAACATATTTAACTTACGTGGTACATAATAAACCATCACAAAGTAAGTCTGGGTTGTTTATTTGGAAAAAAAAATGTGCATAATTTCCAAAATATAAGCAATAAATTGAAAAGTGTGGTGTTGATGTGTATTTAACCCCTTTGCTCTGATACCCTTAAATCCAGAGAAGCTAAAAATCTTCTGAAGTAATCTAATCAGTAAAAAAAAGTCCAAATGGGTGTAAACCCAAAGATCTTTTGGGAAAATAAGTTGTATTAGGATTGGTTCATGCATGTCTGAGTAATCTTACTGAATCCTGCCCACAGAGCAGCAGCTGCCTCCGGGAAGCAGCTACCTGGACTTTCCTAAATCTGCCATGTAAACAAACTATCATTTCTCTCAGATCAGAAACAGTGATGTGAGGTAGAATGCAATTATTTAAGTTCAAAGCTCTTCTTGCAGCTAATCTGCACAGTGACAGCAACTGTTCCTTTTTTCAGCAAATGCCTAATTACTAAAACAGTTTTTTGGCTGTGAGAGTTATAGGATTTTGTTCAGCTTTTTTAAAGATGAGCCTAATCTCAAAAGTTGCATGATACACCAATGTCATAAAAAAGGTGGCACACACAGGGAAAGGCAGCATCACACTGAAAGAAAGTGTCTTCTAGTTGAAACAAAAATATCAATCCAATCTGGTGGGAATTAATGAGAAATGTAGCCAAGAAGCAGGAGGGTGACACTGGAGGAGTTCCACAGGTAAGGTAAGAAAGGTAAGAAAATCTGTTTTCATTTGTGTACTTCACAAATTTGCTCGTAATGGAGAAGTATCGAGAATTATTTTTGAATTTTTGATGCAAATAGTCTAGGATATGCAGTAAACACTTTGAAAAAGATGCTCCAGAAACGAAAAGAAAATTTTAAAAGCTAATATAAAAAGCTTCAGCAGATCACCAACGATGAAACATGGAGATGACAGCCTCATACAGCTGGGATTGGGAAGATGGAAAAAGCCAAAACAGAACCTATGTTTTAGTATAAAACATTTATTTTTGAATAAATTAATCAATGTTTAGAACTAAATGTTCAATCCATCCCATTTTGAGGTAAATTAAGTCTCTAGAAGAGGAAAAATAATATAGACCCTGAACATATATTTCAAGTGAGAACTCTTCAAATTAGTGTCCTAAAGCAGGGAACTTTTTAGAATTATATTAGTTAAAAAAAAAAACTGTCAGTAATGAAACCATTTACTTGGATACTGTATATTTATTTGTATGTACTTATTTTGTCCATAGGTATGGTGGTATTCAGTAGCTCTGAGTAAAGCCAGTTAAATAAAGTCTTTCATCATAATTTAGGGAGATTTCCTACAGTACTGCAGTATATTTTTCCCAGTGTTTGATTCTATGGTGTAATTTAGTGATATAAAACATAAGGCACCAACTAGGAAGGCAACAGCTGTAGTTGAAGCACTAAATCCTTTCTTTTTTCGCTCTTTGTCTCATACTTAGTTTACTGGGACTATCAGAGGGAGAGATCAGCTGTAGACAAAGGGGCTTCAGAATGAATTAATAGGGGCTAGAAGTGATGAGGCGGAGGAAAAGGGCAGAAGGTAAAGAGAAGAGGATGCTGCAGACTTGAAAAGCAGCACTGACGGCTTTAGAGGTGGCAGACATGAGACAAAAGGGTAGCGAGCTTCTCCTGGACAACTGTCTGACAGCGAGCCAATTTCATCCTTTTGTCCTCCCACAACCACAATAAGAAAACCAGCCAGGTCTTCAACCAAATCCTGTGTCACGTAGTTTATCTATACAGACATCACAGTGCTCATGGAGTCACACACAGGTTTGTTTTATTCAATTAAAGTGCTGAAACTTGAGGATTGTAAAATAAAGAAAATTAATTAGTATTTCATCCAGCAGGACTTTCTGTTGGTTTCATCACCGCTCGTTTGCTCCATCAGTCACCTTCTGTTTCCTCACACACATTCTGCTTAACGAACACAAACGCTCGCTGATATACATGGTAAAATGAAAAAAAAAAAAGGTTAAAAACTTGTTTTGCTTTGATCATTTTTTTAATACAGACAAAAGGAAGTGTCTGTTCACAAACCCAGTGGAAAATTAATTAGACAGCGCAGGGACGTCTTCTGGGGACTTTTCAGGTTTTAGAGAAAAGTATCAAAGGGAAAAGAAAACCAGGCCTGCAAGCAGGATGATGATGGGCACATATAATGATAACTGGCCTCTTACTTCTATGCTTCTGCAGTGTTACTGCAAAGCACACAAAAGGGCTGGCTTTGTTTTACTGTCACCTCAGTTCGGTGTTTGAATCTCCTCAGCATGCCTCCCTATCCTGTGGTTCTCTGACCAAAGACATCCAAAGTCATTTTGACCAGACAGCTACATGCCCAAACTTTTGGTAGTGAGAGAATAAACCGATTCATTGCTGAAGACAATTCGGAAACATCTAACATGACCAGGGTCTCTGAGTGTATTTCACATCAATATTTTAGAAAGATGCCAGCCTTCTGGTAATCTGATGGAATAAGCAGGATGATGGATGGATGGATGGATGGATGGATGGATGGATGGATGGATGGATGGATGGATGGATGGATGGATGGATGGATGGATGGATGGATGGATGGATGGATGGATGGATGGATGGATGGATGGATGGAAAGTGACATACAGAGACAGAAAAACTGTTGAAAGAAAAGACAGAGACAGACAGAAAAGCTGTCTAAAGTATCGCATCTGGAAATGCAGTTTTTTTTTCACTCATCTTTCTTCATATTTATCCAGACTGAAATAAGACTGATAAGTTGCTTCCTTTTCCCACACAGAAGATAAACAAGTTTAGTGTTTTGTCATCTTGCAGCAATGCTCTAACTTCAAACTCCAACTGAATGTTTTTCAAGCTAAATATACTTTTGAACACCTTGAAGATTATTAGTCTCACATTAACTTTTTTGCTTTCCACAGGTATTAAGCATCTGTTTAAAGATGACTCATATGGAGCTTAAATATATACCACAGAAAATGCAAACAAGGGTCTTCATAAGTGTTTCTTTAAATACTTCAGCTTTAATAATTTTTCCTACTTATCAAATAATGTTAAAATATCAGGAAGGATGCAGTGAATCAATTCTGGGGTTCAGTTTGAGGATTTAGATTTTTTGCATGTAAAACAGTGACATTTATCATTAAAAAGCCTAGTTAGCTCTGGTTATAGGTCGGGAATTTGAGCCTTATAAGTCTGTGTCTTGTGTCAACTCTCACCAACATTGTGTATCCTTGCTTATTTGTTTGAATTTCTTAATATCTCTTGGGAACTAATATACAACTTACATAAAGTCCCTTTTTTTATTAATGTTCTAATCAATAAACAGATGGTTTTGTTGCAATGTTTAGTTTAACAGGAATATTAGAGCAATTTCAATAAGAGGAAATCAGAAAGCACACACACACACACACACACACACACACCATCAGGTACCTGCTGTTTTCCAGAGCCAGCAGGGGCTGCCTGAGCCGTGGGTGTGGACCTTCCCTCACTGTCCACAGGGGGCGCCCGCTCACTGCCCCAGGAGAGTGAGCCCTGCATCATCAGCTGACACTGAGCCCTGCGGTTTCTGGGGCCGTTCCTTAACATCTGTTCCTGACTACAGCCTCTATCTGTGCTGGTGTTGCTGCCCAGGTCTGTTGTGCCTTTCTTAGCAGACGGCTCCCTAAGAGTCAGGGCCTGGAGGAGACTCCTGGGTGTATCGTACCACCGTCTGAGTAGGTCTGGGATCTGGTACTCCTCACTGCGCTTGCGAGATGTTTGGGAGGCACATCTGGATTGGCAGTTGTGCTCCTGAGTAATCAGGAGCTGAAAAGGTGAGGCAGGTGGTGTAGATGGAGGTGAAAACGGGGGATTGAATAGAGTAGGAGGGACGGCTGCACCATCACGATCTTCTCCTCCTGCTTGACTGGCCATGTCCAGACTCCCATTGCATGAGGAATAGCTCCCTGAATAAGACGACTGACTGCCTGCCGCTATTCCAATCCCACTGTCTAAAGAGGTCTGCCGGTCGCAGTCATTGAGCCCACGAGGCTGGGACTGCATCGAAGATTGACGGCCCACTAAGCCCTCCCTTAAAGCCCCATACAATCTGTCATCTGACCGGGTCAAAGCCTTCAGTGTGGAGGAACTTGATGCCATCTCATTGGAAAGATGCAATCGGGCCAATGGCTCCACCCAAAACGGAAACCGGCCTCCATAACTTGCATCTGACTGACTGGATGAGGAGCTGGAGAAGCTGTGGTCGTCCCCGGCAACAGAAGTGCTGCAGCTATAGGTGGAGGCTGGAGAGGAGGAGAAAGTCAACTGATCTGGATAAAGAGATTAGTAATCAAAACAGCTGGCAGTAAAAAGAACAGTAATCTTTACAGACAACTGATGCAGGAGAACAAGGTTTAATTACTGTCATCTGGTGCAAGGATGCCTATGGAGCCAGTCAGCATTAATTTAACGTTGGACTTCTTTAAATTCCTGACTAATGCAAATATAACACTGCTGAAAATGGCCTAACATCCTAAACTACAATGTTCATTAGTGATGTGCTGGCTGAGGATAACCCAAAGGGACAGTTTGTAGCAAGACTTACATGAGCTACTGGCCAGACTGCACTGAGACAACATGCTGAGCCTCTTCTCCAGGTCAGACGTCTCCTGACTGATGCGTTTCTCTGCTGATGCAGGGTCTGCATCTGGATCTGTGCTTATGTAGAGAAAGAAGAAATACATAAGGAACATGTTATATTTGATCTGAGTAGCTTTTAAACAAAACAATAATAGAAATTCTTGTAATTGATAAAAAAATGTAGACATCAATGGTTCTCAAGCCTGGTCCTGAAGTACCACTGCTCTGCATGTTTCAGATGTCTCTGTGTTGCAGCAGACCTGCTTCAAATAATTTCATGAGCTCCTCAGCATCCATTAAGTGCTGCAGAAGCCTGTTTATCATTCCTTCATATAATTCAGGTGTGTAGTACCAAAGAGACACCTAATACTAACAGGACAGAGGTATGCAAGCACCAGGATTAAGAACCACTGCTCTAGATGATAAATCAATTTAGGACCTAACAGAGTCTGGATCCGTGCTTTCACATATTCACTGCAGTGATTCTCTACAGTTCCTCATTTAAGAAAAAAGGGCCACTATGGCAGAATGGCAAAGAGAAAGCCACCAATGTCAGAGAGCTATGAGCCATCCTGTTTAAGGTATGCAACAGCCCACATTGGAGACACAAATATGTTGAAGAAGATGTCCTGACCTAAGCATGGTGGTTGCAGCATTATGCTTTGGGGATACTCTGATCCTTTAGTGCTAGCAGCCTCAGCATAGCGTTATTACATGTAGAGAAGTTAATAAAGCCATTTGATTAATGTGTGTGGGCAGAGATTTATCTAAACGATGCAGAACAACGGACCCTGAATAGAAGGGCTGCAGGCTTAGAAAAATAATAAAGACTTAAAAATTAAGAGGAGGTTCACTTTCCTGTAATCCTATAGAAACAATCTTAAAGGATTGGGCTTAAATGACAGCATTGCCATATATAGGAATAACACAAACTATGTTTATATGTAAATCATTCCAATAATCTGTGGTGGAACAGAAAATTCATGTTAATTCTCCATCTAATCTCATCTCCATCATGCTAAAGAACAATGGACAAATATTTCTGTCTCTAAATGTCTCAAGCTGGTAGATGCACAACCCAAGTGTTGACTCAGGGGAGCAGAACTCTAATAGATTATTTAAAAATGAATGCTTCTTTATCTTCTACTTCACAGTTACTGTATACAAAGAATCAAGACACTTAAAAAAAATTAATTCAAATAAAACTATTATAACATATTATAACATTTTCAAAATATAAAAAACGTTTCTGTAGGTATGCATGAGTGCTTCACCAAACTCACACACAACGGCTAACCCATTAAGAAAAAAAAATGTTTAGCTTAATGCTTTCAAAGATTCTTGCAAAATGTTACCATAGCAACAACATATCTAACACTGGTAACAAAACAGCCACCATTAACACCAGTTCACAGTTTAACACCTTTCAATGAGTTTAACCATAACAACCTCCATCTTTTACATCCATCAATGTAGTTGATGCTTCACAAAATAGAGGGGCAAATAAAATGTAGGTTTCTTATATTTCTAAACCTGTGAAATGCTCTTAAAAAGTCAATGTAAAGAAGCATTTGCTGTATTTCAACTTTTTGAAAATGGCTCCATAATCTGTGGGGATTTGTGAAAAGTGGTTCATCCTGAGGAACCAAGAAAAGACCAATGGTTGAGACCTAAACATACTTTTAAGTTTTATTATATTACATTTATTATGTTTATTTTGCTGAAATACTTTCTATCTCCCCCCTTTGTACTGTGGCACTACTAGAACCCTCCTTTCTCTGATGATTAATGTTAAACCTTTGTGGCATCATCTATACACTGCAGTGATTTCACATACAGCTTTACCTTCTTTTGGAAGGGAATCAATTGCTGCAACTTATGTTAAGTATCTAAAAAAAACCAGGAAAACACTACATTTGTGGTGTTAATTAGAAATGTCTTGTAATATGTTTGTGTGCAAGCGTATAATTGGTGCTCTAAGTGTACATGTGACATCTCCCAGGTGCCATGGCTAATAACAAGCTAATTTAGAGCACAATATCGAGTAAACCCCAGCTAATTACACATCTAATCTCTGGTAAACATACAAACACTTGCTGAAGTGTGTGTGTGCCTCTGAGCTCATGCTATGGTCGGTCAGTGTGTGTGTGTGCGAGTGAACCTGTCTAGCCGTCAGAGTGAGGACCATTTTTACAATTTCACCATCAAATTAAGGACCAGTTGTTGCAAAGTGATGACATTTTGACAGTCCTCACATGCTATTTTGCTAATGGTTAGGTTTAGGGCTAAGATGTCAATTGGGTTAGGGTGAGGTATGTATTGGTAATGGTTAGGTTTAGGGTTAGTTTTAGGGTTAGGGCATAGAAAGGGTTGAAAATGACTGAAAATCAACTGAAGTCAATTGAAGTCAACACATGGTCCTCAATGTAATGGCAGAACGAGTGTGAGTGTGTATGTGTGTGTGTGCTTCAACAGCTGAACTCCTGGATCAGTGCCTCTGGGCTGCAGCTACTGCTGAAGTTAGATGCCAAGTTTCTCCACTACGCTATGCCGGGGTTCAGGTAACATCTTCTAACTCTGCTGCCTTTTGCTAATTATAGCTTCTTCTCAGCACAGAGTGATTCAGGATTCAGAGAAAAAACTGTGCAGGTGGGCTAACACTTAAAGAAAAGGAGCATGGGAACTAAATAATGACTTAAATAAGAAAATAGCTCAAATTTTGCCTCATTTGGTCCAGATTTATGTCAAGGTAAACTTGCTGAGTAAAGAAAGAATAAAAATGTTAGATATATATACATGGAATATTTTTGATGAAAGCATGATTTTGACCTTCAAGTATAAAGAAGTGTCATATTTTCAGTCAGACAATGAGTTTTAAGTTGAAGGAGGCCTACTGGTTATAATAATCTGGGGAAAATATAGAAATTAAAGCAACCTACAGATTTTACCATAGTTTAAAAACAGAATTCATCTAAATGAGTCAAGAATATCCTATTGATATGGTGACATTTTATCGGTTTTTTATTTTTGCTTCATGGTTCATGGGCGGAGCTAGAAGGGGGGCCAGTTTTGCAGGGTAATTTGACTTTTCCTTAAAGGGATAATTCGGGATTTTTGACATGAATCTGTATGGCATCCCCATCACCAGTGTCATGCAATCACACTGACTTACCCCTGGCAGCATCCTGTGAGCAGAGTTCTCGTCCAGCTTTGGTCAAGCCGAAAGTAGTCCGGCAGGTTTGCTAGACCCAGCGAAATAAAACGTTTCTCTTCCCAAAACACTATGTGTTCAAAAGAGCGATATTTTAGCTAGGAGCTAGGCGGAGCGAGACATGCATCTGGCTGTTGTCAGGTTAGTAGGCCCTAGCTGTCAGGTCATGGTGTCGCGCGCACTGATACGAACAGAGAGAAAATAGGACCAAGTGATAACGACGTGTGACTTTTTCCACTACAATGTTTTTGGGATGCAAAAATATCGCTCTTTTGAACACATAGTGTTTTGGGAAGAGAAACGTTTTATTTCGCTGGGTCTAGCAAACCTGCCGGACTACTTTCGGCTTGACCAAAGCTGGACGAGAACTCTGCTCACAGGATGCTGCCAGGGGTAAGTCAGTGTGATTGCATGACACTGGTGATGGGGATGCCATACAGATTCATGTCAAAAATCCTGAACTATCCCTTTAAGAACATAACCCACCTCCTCTGAAACCAGCAGTTCCCCTCCTAGACAAAGGGTGGCAGTAGTAATACTCTCAGGTAGAATTTCGTAATTGATCTGATTTTTCATTTTTTTTCTTTTCAGAAATGTTTATGCTTTATTTTTAATAAGGGAAAGTCCTGTTTCTCTGCAGTTTTGAAGAAGTCTTTTTTTTTTATTAGAGATAAAGAACCTCTGCTCATCCTATTCAATGTATATATGATGCAGAAACATAACTGGTTCTTAATTTAGACAGCATACATGTATAGATATGTGTGTCTATTTTGTCTTCTGTAATTTATTTTAAAAAATATGGATGTTTTGCATGTTCATTCTGCTGTTGTTAGAGTTTGATTAGTGTAGACTGTCCAAAACTGGTTTGGCTCTTTTCAGAATCGGCCACTCATCAGAGCACATATGTCACCCCTATCAACACTTTCTGCCACTGAGTGAGTCTCGTCTATCTCCTCTATCCATAATTAAGGCTAATCTAACCACATCAGATATTCTGTTTATATAATACATTCTTCTTAAGTCTAGTAGGTTTTGTGTTTGTACTAGACTATATTAAATAAATGTATTGTAAGAATCACAAAACAACTTTTCCTTTCTTGAACTTTTCTTTTTGCATTTTGGGAGCAAATTTATAATATATTGTTAAGAGTATAAAAACATAATATTCTGGCAGTAGGGCTGACTTGAAGTGGATGTTACTATGGTCTTTCATGACCATAGTTTGTTCCTTCTTTCACAAACCCACCTCAGAAAATATGGATTGATTTTCATTGAGAGATGATAAGCAGGATTTTTACATCTGAAAATATAGAAAACCTAAAAGTCATCAGAACAGTAAAAAAAAAAAAAAACAGTGCTGGTACCTCCTCTTTTGCTATTCAGTTGTTCAGATTTAGACAATAACAAAACCACATCAAATATCTTCTGAGACACTACCAGCAGAATAAACCATCTGTTTTTTGTTTTGTTTTTTTTTGCTCCATTACATTTGATCAGAACATTTTTAGCACTAAAAACAAATACAGTAAACTTCCTCCTGTGTGAAACATAATGCTAAATCTATGACGGCGTTATCATGGAGCTCCTTGGTGTGTTGCTGGTGTCATTCATCTCCTCTGAAATCAACAATATCTTACTGCGTATCGGTCACATACTGAAGTGTGACCCTTTAATCTCCCTGCTGACATACGGGGGGTGCAGGCATGTTGTGTTTCCATTTACATGGCGCCTCGATACAATTGCTACATGAGTGCACTAAACAGGCAGTAAATCTTAGTCACAGGAAGCAAGAAGTCACATACCAAAGTGACTGAAGGTTTTTGGTGAAAAAGTGCGTGTCCTAGTGTTAAAGGTAAGTCTTGGTGAGACAGAAAGTGTGAAATTTAAATAAAATGTCATGATTTTAAGATTACCAAAATTGTGTAATCAGTTCTTTGGCATGTCATTTTATTAGTCTATGTCTGTGCACTGATGAAATGATGTAGTTGGTTGTTTGTTCTCTTCTATGTCATTAAACTTAATTACATAACAACTTAGAAAAAGCTTACATTTTACCAATGTTTTCACCTCAAAGAACCTCAAAAAAAAGAAAAAAACAATACTGGTATTTTAATACAGTTGAGCTCATCTTTGACATCTGCGATTTTGTGTAGACAAACCAATTTAATTCCATCCTGTCGTTAGCCTGTGGGTTTTTTGCAGGAGTTAAGCTAACGCTTACCTGGCTGGTTAGGTGGTACGCCATACAAGGCCCGGCTGGGGGTGATTCCACGAACAATGCAATCAAACAAGAAGCTGATCTGCTCCCCTTCTGAACATGATAGGAAGAAAACACCGGCCCCTTTGGAAACACAGAGGGACAGAGACAAAGAGTGGTAAATGAAATATAGTGATTTAACATTCCTTAATGTTTCAACAAGGCTAAATCATCACTAAGCTGCAGAGGCTGTTGTGAATGCCATTCTGTTCTTTGAGCCACAAACAAGCCTTTCTCCTAATGCTTTTTCTCAGGCTGCTGAGGCCTATACAGCACTATTTGTTGTGGAAAAGAGCAGCAAAAACTAATAGTAGAAAGAGCGAGAGTAAAATATAAATCATCACGCTAGAAAGTATTGCATCAAATAAACCAAAGAGGGAGCAACAAAGTCAGCTCTTACTGATGTTTGCATCTATTCTACTTTATTTCACACAAAGGCTAATTAAATATGTTTTCAAAGCAAAATATAACAAGTTAGAGTTCAATAATCAAGTTACTGAAATTTCGGATCAGAACGCCAAGGTCCCCGCCCTCGACTGCCACCCATCACACATTGCACCCGACCCCTCTGACCCCTCCTTCAGGTGGTGAGTCTATTGGAAGGGGGACCCATGTTTCCTCTTTGGGCTGTGCCCGGCCGGGCTCCATGGGGAAAAGCCCGGCCACCAGGCGCTTGCCAGCATGCCCCATCCCCAGGCCTGGCTCCAGAGTTGGGCGCCCGGTGACCCGCGTCCAGGCAAGGGAACACTATGTCCATTTATTTTGCTTGTCATATGGGGTCTTTGGGCTGCTCCTAAGGTCATTGGGACACTCAAACCCCTTGATAAGGTGGGAGCCCATGGAGGGCTGCCACCAGTTGATATACGTTTCTACCATCATCTATGTTCATGAGCTTTGGGTCATGACCGAAAGAACGAGATCCTGGATACAAGCGCATGAAATGAGTTTCTCCGCAGTGTGTCTGGGCTCTCCCTTAGAGATAGGGTGAGGAGGTCAGTCATCCAGGGAGGACTCAGAGTAGAGCCGCTTCTCCTCCTCATCGAGAAGAGCCAGTTGAGGAGGCTCGGGCATCTAATTAGGATGCCTCCTGGACGTCTGCCTGGTGAGGTGTTCCAGGCATGTCCCACGGGGAGGAGGCCCAGAGGGAGACCCAGGGCACGCTGGAGGGACTATGTTTCTCAGCTGGTCTGGGAATGCCTTGGGATTCCCCCTGAGGAGCTGGCTCAAGTGGATGGGGAGAGGGACGTCTGTGCCTCCCTACTAAAGCCGTTACCCCCACGACCTGATATACGATAAGCGGAAGAAGATGGATGGATGGATGGATGGATGGATGGATGGATGGATGGATGGATGGATGGATGGATGGATGGATGGATGGATGGATGGATGGATGGATGGATGGATGGATGGATGGATGGATGGATGGAAGGAATTTAATTGAATTAAAAATCTTTATTGTCATTGTACACAATACAATGAAATTTGTAGAGCAGCTCTGTAAAAGTGCACACATAAATAACACATACATACATATACAATACATTAGTGCAAGTCCGAACATAGGTTGAGTATGGTGACAGCTTTAGGAAAGAAGCTATCCCTGAGTCTGTTTGTTCTGGTCCGTATAGACCTGAATCGCCTGCCTGAAGGTGAAATTTTGGCATTGCTTTAATTTGAACAAAATCTGATGGATTCATTAGCTGATCAGTTTATTGAAATAGGGAAGCTGCCCAGCATCATGGGAAGACTCAATGCCTCATACTGAAGATTTGGTGATCATACAGTTTCAGTGTTTTAGCTGCAATAAAAGACTCATATATGATGTTGGCCTTTTTAATGTGATCATTTTGACATTTACAGACTAATACATCAATAGGCTTATGAGCAATAAAAAAAATTTCAAACGCTCTAGTAATAAGTCTCAGGGAGGCGCCCGTCGTCTGATTACTATAGCTTTTGTTTAAATACAATGCTCTGTGTCTGAATAATTTCATGTTAATGTCACTGAGACATTTTAAACAAAGGCACAGTACAAAATCTGAAAGGAAAAAAAATAAGTGTATCTGTAAGAAAAGTCAGCTCTCATCCAGCAAAGTCAGAGATTTACTCTCACGATTACATAAAATTGTGAAGGCATTCAAAGTCTACAAATTATTCATAATCAGCACATTTTCTTCTGCCAATGAAACAGGTCTGAGAAACTGAAATTATATGGATTCATTTAGTTTCCCACTGTATGGGAAGAGCACTTTGCTCCTCACCGAAACACTGCCTGAATCACTAACCTTATTAACTTCTGTTAAATAAAAATAAAAACTTAATTAAACCAACTTTGATAAGTTACTATAATTTTTTGGAGCTAAATTAATCAGTTTTACTCAAGTTCTAATTCTGATTTAATTCAAGCATTTTTATTTAGTTTAGAGAAAATTTAATTAGAGAAAATATGTAATATTTCTGAATCATTAATAAACAATGACATAAAAAAAAAAATATATATATATATATATATATATATATATATATATATATATATATATATATATATATATATATATATATATATATATATATAAATATATATATATATATATATATATATATATATATATATATATATATATATATATATATATATATATATATATATATATATATATATATATATATATATGTTTTGTTTTTTTTACACCGCAACAAGCTGAAAACATACGCTTTGCGAAATGAGAAGAAGAGAGCCCCTCGATCAGCAGAGGAGCAGCAGAAGCCAAGAGGTGTTCAGAAGGTCCTGAGAAGGCAGACAAGCAATTGAATAATCATTGATATCAGTTTCCAAACCAAATTCAGGTCTTGGGTGAATAAATAACCTAGTTATTAAGTGTTTTTGTCCTTCTGCATGAGGGAGGATTTTCTTCTCCCTCATGCAGAGATTGCCAGACTTAGCGTCTTTTCCACTAAAAATACTCGTGTTAACTTGTGTTTTCAAACATAGGTCGGCCCGCTAATAATCGGCCTTTGGAACCCCTTGCATTAGCAAAAAAAGCTGCATCTAACCCCTTGTTGCAGAGCTGCGTGGCCCTATGTCCCCCCAACCATTGCATGTCTGGTGTACGGTGATCAGATGTCCCCAATTTCCAGGGACAGTCCCCATTTTGAACCATCTGTCACTGGCTAAAACTGTCCACAGAAATGTTCCTGATTTTACCATTTTATGAATGAGCGGGGAAATGTTTCATGTAGACTGCTATTAAGGTAGAAAGTGCGCCTGAGCATGTTGCATGCAGAAACAGCTGTTAACATATAGATAAGCAGTCTATACGTTAACATGAGCAGAGCGCACCACTTTTAAAAAAAAACTAAGAAGTTTGTTACCACAAATGATCGCAGCCGTTCTGTGTTATGATGAGTGGGTTAATCGGTTCATTTGATTTGGATTGGCCTGATCATTGTGATAAATGTTTTTGTTTGGCCCGTGCCAAGGTTAATAAAAAAATTGCGCTTTGATGTATTTTTGTTTTAGATGAGGACAAGAAATGTAATATAATCCAAGCTGATCAACACAAAGTAAGACAGAGCATTGGCTGCAGCTGGCACGAGTAAATAGGCTTAGATAAAAGGAATGATTGAAAACTTCTTGTAAAGTGCTTATCTGGTTCGGTGGTTCTCAAGGGATTAACAAGAACATCTAAAGATGTTTTAAGAACTGATTGGGGACCTTTAGTTTATATCTTCAGATAGTTACGTGTTTTAAGTAGAGTTAAAAGTTGTTTTTCTGTATTATGGTTGTGATTTATTAGCATAGACTTCCAGGCTTAAGTCTACTTTTCTACCAGTCAGTTTGGATATATGAATGTTTCTCATGAAAAAAATATGAGGCAGTAACAGGAAAACAGAATGAACTGGGAAGACACGCGTCAATGAGCTGTTCCCACTGCCACTAAAAGCCAATTGTTTGCAGGTTTAAACAGGTTTTTTAAGCCAGTGGGAAAGGGGTATTAGCAGCATTTTTATGCTGGATGTCCCTTGTGATTTAACCAGAGCTCACATTTGAGTCAAAGATTAAAACCACTTCACAATAGTATATTATTTATACTAGAAAACATTTCTAAAGGAAGGGGTATTTTTCTTCTTAGATAGACTTGCTGTTCTGGAGATGTAGTTAGATTTAACTGCAAGAAGATACTAATTTAATTTTCCAGTTTTTTTTTTACATCTTTACCAAGAGTTCCAATAAATGTTGAAGACTCTGTGAATCATACTTTTAGCTGAGATAATGATGCAACCTATAAGTACGCTGAGTGGGAGGACACAGCAGGTTGTCCATTCTACACTCTCCATGGAGCCAAAGCCAGCATGAACACTAAAACCTGGCAGAATTCTCCCCTCAATGGATTAGAATGGGGTTTTTTTTTTTACAGACGATTAGTACTGTTTAAAACCAAAGATGTAATTTCCGCTAAGATGTAAACTACTGTATGTAAGAAAATTTTAGTTTAAACCTTTTTGAAAAAAGTCTGTAAAAAACTATGAATTTAATTGTGAAATATTTGTATTAATTTTAAGAACAACCTGCTTACATACAAAAGCTTTATTAGGGAGGAGCAATGTAAAAATGCTGGAAATGAGAACTCAGTATTAAAGAATATAAAAGCCAAACTATCAAGAAACGTCAGAAACCTCCAAGTTTTATCATCTTGTAATATATATAGATTCAATATTAAGCACTTCAATGTTTTTTCCTCAATGTCAGGCATTTGCCTAACTTGTCTGTGGAGAAGAAATGATACATTTGTCTCATAAGAGCAGTGGAATTGGAGGAAAAAACACCCCAAAAGAACCCTGAAAGGTTTTCTTTATTAATTTTCTCTCTTTCATTTCCATCTTCTCCAACCTAAACTTTAGTATCTAGTTTGCTTCACCATTCGAGCTAGAACCAGGCGGATAGTCAGACATTGCAATCTCTGTGGGTCACTCACACTTTAATATGACCTGGCAAAAGTGGGGCTTAGTTGGATTAAGCTTGTAGATGCCATCTAAATGATGCTAAATATATATACACATATATATACACAAATATACACAAC